GACTCTCACGTATGGATGAGTTGAGGTTTGAGGTTAATGTGACCTCTAGGGGTCAGATGAAGGTCGAACTGTAGCTTTGTAATAGTACCGGGATTTTAGTGGTACAAGGAAGCAAATAAAGGTCATGGAAACCCCCATTTTCGACAGCGGCAATCGAAAGAGCGGAAAATTTCACATCCAAATATCTACTTAGATCATAAGTCAAGGGCGAACTTAAAGTTTAAGGTCAGTCGAAGGTCATCCAAACTTAAAGACGCCCTAAAATTTTTTAAAGTTTTTTTCATAATGGAGAAGGGTATTTATTTAGTAATTACCCATCGGAAATCCGTAACCTTGAATTTAACCTTCAACCTCATTATCAAGGTTTTTTCAAGATCAATTTTTTTTACTTTTAGCGTTACCCAGGAACAACGACGTGGACGTAGTAAAATCTGTCCCCTTGGGGTGCTTTATTTTTGTGAGTTCCCCTCGCCTCTTACGATCGGGGTGCTTGATTTTCGTGAGTTCCCCTCGCCTCTCACGATCGGGGTGCTTGATTTTCGTGAATTCCCCTGGCCTCTCACGTATGATTTATCTTACATCAGCACATCTTATTTTAAGTGCTCGAATTGTTCACCGTTCACTTCTTGACAGTAAGCTAATCGGTGGTAAAAAGCATCAACAGCATTTTGGATCATTTCAGTGGGAATGAGAGCTGATTCGTCTATGATCCTTTGACGTAATTCGTCCAAGTTTTGGGGTTTAGTTTTGTATACCCGATCCTTTAGATAACCCTAATAGAAATAATCTAAAGGCGTCAAATCGGGGGACCTAGCTGGCCATTCAATTGTGCCTCTCCTTCCTATCCACCGATTATCAAACACCTCATCTAAGTAAATTCGAACGTCTCGTCCATAGTGAGCTGCAGCACCATCCTGCTGATACCATGTATTTTCGAAGTTGTCTCCGACTATTTCTCTAATTGCTGGAACTATTTGATTACGAAGCATCTCTTCATAATTTTGAGCGTTTAAGTTACCATCAATAAAGAATGGCCCTATGATTCGATTATTCACTATTCCAGCCCAAACATTCAACTTCTGCGGATATTGCGATATATCTTCTCGCATCCAGTGTGGATTTTCCGCAGCCCAGTACCTGCAATTATGTCGATTTAATGTTCCGTCAAGTTGAAAAGTTGCTTCATCAGAGAAAACTATGTTTGATGGAAGATTTGGATTTTCAATTATGCGTGCCATCATATCTTCACAAAACTCAACACGACGATCGAAATCGTCTTCATTCAACTTGTGAACCAGGTGTACTTTAAACGGATGGAATTTTGCTGTTTTTAAAATGATATGTACGGACGATGTACTTATGTCATGCTCTTGAGTAACTCTGCGGATGGAATTATGTGGATTTTCAGTGAATGATAATAGAACATTTAATAAATTCTCTTCATTTGTTGCTGAGCGTGGTCTACCTGACTTAGGTAGATTTCTGACATGGCCAAAATTTACAAACCTTGAAATAGTATTCTGAACAGTAGACACAGCAATTGGAGTTCTATTAACCCGAAATGTCTCATTAAAAAGATTTCTCACTGCCCTGTAAGATCTTTCTACTCCACCCCAGCCTCTCATCATAAGAAGTGATATTCTTTCTCGTTCAGTGAGGCGTTCCATTTTAAGTCAGCGAATCGAAATTTACTCAAAAATCAATCAGAATTAAAAACAAAAAGCTTGCAACCCAAATAAATGTTTTCAAAAAATGAAAATTATAATTTGAGTACTTTTACAAAAAAGTTCTACTACAGTCCGACTAATGCACTAATGCTTTATGGAGATTTTCGAATATTAATTTTTGAAAATGCAATTGTCCCGAAGAATAAGCTCAAAACGATAAAGTTAGGCATAGTACATTTCCTAAGGATAGAACCAAGTGAAATTGTTAGTGGATTTTCAATGAATAGGTATGGGATAGTAACCTTAAAAAGTTTAACCGGCTAATCAAGTTATTAAGAAAATAAGCGTAAAAAATCATTGTTGATAGGCGAGGAGAACTCACGAAAATCAAGCACCCCGATCGTGAGAGGCGAGGGGAACTCACGAAAATAAAGCACCCCAAAGGGACAGATTTTACTACGTCCACGTCGTTGTTCCTGGGTAACGCTAAAAGTAAAAAAAATTAATCTTGAAAAAACCTTGATAATGAGGTTGAAGGTTAAATTCAAGGTCACGGATCTCCGATGGGCAAGTACTAAATAAATACCCTTCTCCATTATGAAAAAAACTTTAAAAAATTTTAGGGCGTCTTTAAGTTTGGATGACCTTCGACTGACCTTAAACTTTAAGTTCGCCCTTGACTTATGATCTAAGTAGATATTTGGATGTGAAATTTTCCGCTCTTTCGATTGCCGCTGTCGAAAATGGGGGTTTCCATGATCTTTATTTGCTTCCTTGTACCACTAAAATCCCGGTACTATTAGCAAGCCACAGTTCGACCTTCATCTGACCCCTAGAGGTCACATTAACCTCAAACCTCAACTCATCCATACGTGAGAGTCTTCACTTTTTTCGATTCCGCCATAAAAAATAGGGGTACCCATTAAAAAAAATGAGGTTGACCTCAAAATAACCTTGAAAATGAGGTTCAAGGACAAATTAAAGAGCACCGTTGAAAGTTACCTGGTGTTATCCTTTTGTTTGTTTTGTTTGCCACTGAATTCGCGAGATTTTTAAGAATTCATACTTTGACCTCCAGTTGACCTCTAGGGGTTACCTCAACCTCATACCTCAATACATATCTGGACGTAAAATTTTCCGCTCTTTCCGATTCCGCCATAAAAAATAGAGGTTTCCATTTAAAAAAATGAGGTTGACCTCAAAATAACCTTGAAAATGAGGTTCAAGGTCAAATCCAAGGTTACCATCGGATTCCTCGTAAAAAGTTACTTCAAGAACAACCTTCACCCGGTTAAAAAAATAACCGGCTTAGAAAATTTCTCAGGAGTATCGTTACTTTTTGGACACCCTGTATAAGTAGAAGTATCTGACAAGAAATTTTCCATTTGCTCAATGTAATCATTTTTACCAATAGCAACTGTAATGCTACGAGGGGGGGGGGGGGGTCAATAAGTCTTTACAAAAAGAAGGAAAAAAAAGTTTTGCGTATGTAAGTTTTTTTATTTTTCAACATAATCTCCTTGAAGGTCGATGCATTTTATTAAACTGTCTTCCAGTTTTTTTAAGCCATCAGAAAAATATGATTTCTGAAAACCTTCAAAATAGGCATTTGTTTCGGCGATGACTTCTTCATTCGACGTGAATCGTTGTCCGGCAAGTCATTTTTTGAGGTTAGGAAATAAGAAAAAGTCACTGGGAGCTTGATCAGGCGAATATGGTGGTTGGTCAATTAATTCGTACTTTAAATCGTTAATTTTTGCCATCGAAACTGCACACGTGTGAACTCGAGCATTGTCTTGAAGAAAGAGGCATTTTTTTGTTCAAGTGAGGACGTTTTTCTCTGATTTTTTCTTTCAGCTAACTTAAAGTGAACATAATGTCATTTTTTGTAAGAATTTTTCAGCTTCTTTAAAATTAATTCTAAAATGTTTCTGTTCTAAACTTAAATATTTAGTTTTAGTAGGTTTTTTGTAAATATTATCAAGAATAGTTTTCCTAATTTTATTTTTTTTGTACCATCATTCATTCTATGTGTACCTAAACATTGTTCAGTACTTTTTATGTGTTCAAACATGACTTGTTTATTTATTTTAATAGGCTTGCTAAATTTTTCACCAAAGGATACATCAATGACAGGTTGAGGAATATTAATATTAGTCATATTATAAAATCATCTGTTCTTATATTTAAGTTCAGTCTCATTTATTAAACTATTAATATCATCATAAATATCATTCATCATTAAATCATCACAGACATCAGTATTATTGACATTATTAGATTTGTAATACTATTATTTTTCAGTAGTAAGTTATGTAACTTTTTGTTATGCATTTCATCCATCTTGTCTAAAAATTTGTTATTAGAAAATGTTTGAGTGCTAAAAAAACTTTCTAAGCATATATTATGATCAGCAATTTGTTGCTTCAACTTTTCAGTAATTTTATTCAACCTATTAGTAAGGTAATGAATATGTATCGAAAAATCTTCTATTTCTAATTGTAACAAGTTGCTGTTTAATTTGTTAAAAATTCTTTTCAATTTCAGAGTGCAAGTCTTACTATGGAAATGTAATATTTACAGCTTACTGGACATATTATGTAAGTGTATTGAACGGTATCATATGTAATATACATATATTACATATATAGGGGTATATATTTGGCGGTCTCGCCCAGCTTTCCGCAATAAACGCGAGGAGGCGCTACTTCTTAGACAACGGCGCGACGAGCGCGCAAACAGACTCTTGCTCCTCGCAGCGTTTACTAGATGTTCCCTCATAAGTTCGACAACTAGTCAGTCCATGCTCGCGTCCCCATAGCTCTGGGGGATCGTGCATATGTTGTAAATACTGTGTACAGCTATCTCTTTCTAACTCATACGAATAAACTTAGCCAACATTCAATTGTCTCTTTTCATTCCTTGTGCGCGCCCGCAGCCTTAACAGTGGTGACTTCGCGCAAAACAAAGGCATCAGTTAGTGAGTGCAAATCGTCAGTTTTCGTATCGGTTGAAAAAGACAAGCTGAGGGAAATTCGCTCTACTTTCTAACGACATTCGCACCGTGGCATGTTAAGTGATCGCGAGTGCAATTCGTCAACTTCGGTAAGCAACGTCCGCTCCGGAATTTCTCTCGTGCCGCACGATGATACGCCAGCGTGGGACAACAGCATTGACCGTGACGCTACAATCAAAACTCCGACGCCCGACAGCTCGCATTCCAGCAGCACAGAAGTGTCAACACAACAGCAGAACCCAAGGCACATTTAACATCCAAATCTTCAACCTCGTGCGCTCAACTTCAATTTCGCTGACGACGACGAGGTATCAGGTATGGCCGATGTGCAAGCTGAAGCTAATAGCATAGCGGCAGTCACAGCATATAAGCTCTTGCCGTTCTGTGCGGAAGAGCCCGAACTTTGGTTTGTCAAAACAGAGTCGGCATTCCAGGTAAGCTGTATACGGGCCGACGATTCAAAATATCATCTAATAATCGGTGCCCTTAATACGTGCGTGCTTAGGAAAATTTCAGATATTTTGAAAGCCCAACCGGAGCAAAACAAATACGATACGCTCAAGACTTGACTCATCGAGCATTTCGGCTCAATGGCCGACAAGAAGCTCGAAACATTGTAGACACGTCTCGACCTTAGCGACAAGAAACCATCTCAGCTTTATAGACAAATGGTTGACCTTACCGGTGACAACGCTACTGAGGACCTAGTTAAGGTCAAGTGGCTCGGTATTTTGCCGCGTCATGCTCAGAGTGTTTAGAAAATTTTTAAAGCAAGCATGACCGATGAACTATTCAACGTTGCTGACACCATTATGGATACTCCGATCCACCGTCCGTGATCGCGGTTGAGCCAGTGACTGCTGTAACGCCAACATCGCAAATCGCGTTTCTGACTTAGCTGAAATAAAATCTCTCCTGCTCCAGCTGATTACAGCCACCTAAGATCTGCCGCGTTGCCGAAGCCGTCGTAGTAACACGACAGTTCAGGCCGGATATCAGACAAGGAGGAGCCAACAACCGAAGTCGCTCACATTCCAAGTCCTCACACAAACGGCATGTGCTACTACCACAACAGGTTTGGTGCAGCTGCTAATTGCTGCAACTGCCCTTGCACCTACGTTTGACATCAGTCGCAACAGCAACAAATCCCAACGACGGGATACTTGTAAAGCTGCTGTCTTTGCAGGCGATAGGCAGCAGCTCATTAGTCGCCCTAACTTCGTCATCCGAGCATCTAAAGGAGAATCGGCTGCACGTACTCGATCGCTCATCAGGCATGCGCTTCCAAATCGACAGTGGCTTGGTCGTTTCCATCATTCCGGCTCGCAGTCAGTACAAGGTAACTAAGGACGACATATACCTCTTTGCAGCTAACGAGTCAGCCATAATGACGCATGGACGTCGAACAATCCTGGTAGACTTAAGCCTTTGGAGAGTGTTCCCGTGGTCTTTCGTCTTAGCCGACATAAAAATCCCAATTCTCGGGACTGACTTCCTCAAGCACTATGACCTAGTACCAGACTTAAAGAGACGCCAACGTGTTAATGTTACGACTAGCCTTGCTGCGCCTGGCAGCATCAAGAGCGCTAGTACGTACTCCATCTCGGCAGTACGTCCTGTGCAATCTGCAACTGCCAGTGAGTGCCTAAGACTCATCAACGATTTCTTTGAGCGTTGCGTGGCCAGGAAGGGCCAAATTGTTGGTCCAATGGCAAAAACTCAGCACCACATCGTCATAACTGGACCCCCAGTCTTTGCAAAACCTCGCCAAATGCTGGGTGAAAAACTGCAGGCAGCGAAGGCAGAGTATAGGGAGTTGCTTCCAGCGGGTATCATACGACCATCGAGCAGTCCCTATACCAGTCCGATTCATATGATTAAGTCGTCATCAGGGAAGCTCCGCCCAACAGGAGACTACAGAAATCTGAACACCTAGACCGTTCCAGATCGCTATCCGATCCCGAGGATCAGCGATTTACTTCTTCTTCATGGTCAAAAAATCTTTTCGACCATCGACCTGAAAAAGGCGTATTTCCAGATCTTCGCGGCTTCAGAGAACGATCATAAAACAGCAACCACAACCCCGTTTAGGTTGTTTCGACTTTCTGGAAATGCCTCTTGGTTTGAAAAACGCCACCCGAACGTTCCAGCGATATATACATAGCATACTTGGACATCTCAACTTTGTTTCCGTCTTTATAAACAACGTTCTCATCTAATCCAACGGCATGGGAGAGCACTTGGATCACCTGCATACTGTCCTCGAGATCCTACTTGAAAATGGTCTCAAGATCAACTGGGACAAATGCCACATCAGTCAACAGGAGGTCAACTTTCTTGGCTTTAGGATAAGCGTCGATGGGTTTCAGCCGCCGGCCGAGAAGGTTGAGACCATTCTCAACATCCCGAAACCTTCGACTATCCATGACATGAAGAGTTTCCTGGGAGCAATCAACTACTTCAAACCGCTAATTCCACATGCAGCTCAATCGCAAGCTTTGCTTAACTTAGCCACCATCACGAAGAAAAAGGACAAAACGCCAATCACATGGACGCCGGAGTTGGAAAAGACATTCGTGGATATCAAGAAATCGCTTGCAGCAGTGACATTCTCGTTTTTTCTGCATCCTAGCGCGCCCGTCATTCTTACAGCTGATGCGTCTGCAAGGCAATTGGAGGATCCCTTGAACAGTTGATCGACGAAAGGTATACTCAACTTGGTTTCTTTTCCAAGAAACTATTCGCCGCAGAACGCAATTATAGTCCTTACGGCCGTGAGCTGCTTGCAATATTTGCAACGCTTAAAAACTTTGCAACGCTTAAAAACTTTGCACGCATAGTGGAGGGCAAAGAATTCGTCATAAGGACCGACCACAAACCGCTCACCAAAGCTTTTCAGCAGCGCCCGGACAAAGCATCTTCACGGCAACTATATAAACTTGATTATATAGGTCAATTCTGCACGACGATCCTGCACATCCCCGAGGAGCAGAACGTCGTCACGAATCTACACGATCAGCATACCCATTCGGCTCAGCGCCCAGGTTATTAGCGAGACTCAGACGGAGTACAAACCTTTACCCAGTCGTGAGAGCGATTCCATGAGAGATCTACAGTAGATCACCCTTCGGAGAAAAGCATTCGACGTTATTCATGGCCCCGCTCATCCGAGCGGAAGAGAAACAACAAGGAAGCTTCGTGAAATGTACTTCTGGCCTGGCATTAGAAAAAACGTGCTCACCTGGTGGCGAAAATGCATTCCATGTCAAAGAGCCAAAATTCACCGTCACACGCGGAACCAGCCAGTCAGTATTGACGTGCCAGAAGCTCGATTCAACCACATACACTTGGACATAGTAACCATGCCTCTCGTCAACGAGTATAGGTATTATCTCACTCTCATCAACAGATACACCTGATGGCCGCAAGCAATTCCACTGAAAAGTGCGACGGCGGAAGAACTTGCTGGCGCGTTTTACTCTGGCTGGATCTCTACGTTCGGTTCGCCGCTAACAATCACCACCTACCAAGGACCGCAGTTTGAATCTGCACTTTTCAGCTCATTGGCCCAGCTAATCGGAGCTACACGCATACGCACAATTCCATACCACCCATAGTTGAACGGGATGGTCGAACGCTTTCATAGAACGTTCAAAGCCGCACTAATGTGTCAGCCCAGCTCACCATGGACTGAGCTGCTGCCTGCGATGCTTTTGGGGTTAAGGATAGCCTAAAAGAAGGACATCAAGATTTCACCCGCCGAGCTCACCTTCGGAACAACAATCAGAGTTCCCGGAGAATTTTTCGTTGCCAAGGATTTTCCATCATTGCCTATAACCTTCCTCGACAACCTGTGGAAACATTTTCAGGTCATCCGACCAACGCCACCTTTGCACCACGTCAGGACAAGGCAGTTTATGCACGGAGATCTCCGCACACACGTTTTTAACTTGGGAGCGCCTATTAAGCCTCCACATACACCGCCCTATTCAGGACCTTATCGGGTCATCAGCCGATTGGACGATCAGCGGTACGTCATAGACGTCAGCGGAAGTCCACACACTCTATCAACTACTATGCTAAAGCGACGAGCTATCTCTAGCGACGAGCTGTCACCGACACAACTGCAAGCTCGAGCAACCCAGTCTCGCTCAGTCTCTTTCCAGGTACCTCTCGTGCAGCCAGCCAGCTGATTGGGAGCTATCAATCCTGCGATCACTCCAGCATCGCCGAGGGCCAGCCCAACCATCACCTAACCGAGACCTTCGTCAGAGTTGCCTTCTGATCAGGCAACTTCCAGGGAGGGAGTGGCTGTGGCGATCTCGCTCAGGACCAGCGAGGAACCGCAGCCGACAATGGCGGTAAGAAACAAACCATCAATGGGATTCACGATGACCGACGAATCACGATGCATATGTAATGCACTGGATTAGTGGGGGGGGGGGGGGCTATGTGATGATGCGTCATCCCAGAAAATTAATCTATTAAGCTCGCGCGAAATTCTCTCCCGACAAGAGAATGCGATCGATCAGCTGATGTCGTCTAGCCTATACGTGAAAGTAGTCTAGCAATGTATGTTCCAGCACACCTGCGGGGGGGGTCCGTAACCCTTTGGACCCCCGGGCTTAACCCTTTGGCCCTCTGGCTTAACCCTTTCATGTTAATAATAATTATTATTGTTAACAATTATTATTAACAATATTCGTGGGGGGTCCCTGGTTTAACCCTTTGATTCTCTGGCCTAACCCTTCCATATTAATTATTATTAATGTTTATAATTTTTGAGGATGGTTTCTACGGCTCCTAGTCCCTAGGGACCCTATACCTAGTGCTTTCAGTCTAATTAAATTTAAATGTTTTTTTTTTTTTTTTAAGTTATAAATATATCTTATTGACAATTTACTTGCTACATTGAAAATGAACTAAATAGAAAATAGCAACGATTTTTGAAAAAAATGAAAAGACAGACCGGAGAATCGAACCGGAGTGGCTCTGGGTTGGCAGGCTAGCGCTCTACTACTAGAACCAATGCCACATGTACCTTAGAGGATACATATTGTGTATATTAGCTACACACGCATACATTTCGTATAGGGCCTGAGCGTGCGGAAGAGGAGGAGAGCGCATGCTGTCTATAGTTCTGGCCTGATGGGGATGCGCTACTATAGTAGTAGTAAACGTGCGCTCTCTCTCTCTCTTTCTCTCTCTCTCTCTCTCTCTCCTACGCTCTAGCTAAGCATGGACCATGGTGCGCGGAGGGGAGCATATGCTGTCTATTGTCAATGCGTGCTCTCTCCACGAAGGGAACTGTTTTCGTGAGAATGCTAGAGACTACGAATGCAGTCGCTCGACTGATACCTCCTTGAGATGTTCCTCCTAAACATCTCTGCTAGGAGAGAACCTTATTCCCATCCGTTCGCCCTTTCTTGCAATCGTTATGATTATTTTACTATTTAAATAAGTACACATTTTATTATTTATTTAATATTTATTATTTTTAATTATACATTGAGTAGAGTACACTTTGTCTATAATCTTTATGTTCAGTGTCTGACATAGCTATTTTTAAATATTCAGTTGAATTTTTATATGAGTTATAGTCAACTGTAAATCTTTCGACTGTGTCGATCCCTTTTGATTTTGCTTGTTTTTGTCTTTTCATCATCCAAACGTGTATCTTTTGTGTATTTACCGCAGCACATACTATATTCCCGCGATTTTAACTATGATATATGCATAATGGTTTAAATTTAAGACTTAAATCCTCCAATCGCGGACATCTCATTTCAGGTTCGATATCTAAAATATTTTTGTAATTAAAAAAAAAAAAACTAATTAAATTCGAATTTAGAATTTTGTACTATTGTATATTATGTAACAGGCTGTCGCCTAGCCTATAATCTCTAAAAAAAAGTGCCCTTATTATAACTAGACGAAGCCTTGTTATCTATGTGCTCAAAGCACAGTAACCTACCTTGCCTCGGAGTGCGCCTGCGCAGAGTCTCTTCGCTGTTCCGAGTTGGGTTCCCCCAACTCACCGCTTGGCGGCGCTGTCGCCCCTTGCTAGTAGCGCTCGTGCGGCCGCCGCTGGAACCTAAGTCGTCGACTCGCGTCTATCGATAATCGCACGATTCGTGCTACGCAACCGGCGAATTCGAATTCCCTGAAAATAAACACTGGCGCGACCTCCGGACAAAGGAAAGACTAAATAACGACTATTTAACTCGAAAGTAACGATCAACATGCACTTTATTGATGCAATTTAACTACACGGGAGTTTTGCCGAGAGACTTTCGCACGCTCGCGTGAATGACAAGACACGCTGTTTGAGAGAGAGAGAAAAAAACCGTGATTACCGCGAACTACCTGCTCGCACGCAACAACAGATTCTTCGCGCTCGCTGCGCGGATTCGCACGCAAATTATAATAATAATTGAAAAGGGAAGAAGGTGCACCTACCGCGATATCGATAAGGATACGGTGGCCAACCGTATCCGACTAATACGCTGTTGATCGACTGTTCCGCTGCTTGCTGCACCGCTTCGATTGCTATTGCTGCTGTTGTTGTTGTTGCCACAGATGTTGCTGCTATTGCTGCTGCTGCTGTTGCTGCTACTGCAGTCGCTGCTACTGCTACTGCTACTGCTGCTATTAGCACACCCACCCACGCACTCAAGTTCGCAATGTCAATGGCAAAACACGGGAAACTCGGGAAGATTGGAGGTTAGCGCGACGCTGACAGACTGAGTAACACAGTCATACTGCCGATCGGAGCCTCCCCTCCCGGTCATTGCCCCTTACGCGCTCTCTCTCTCTCTCGCGAACCGAACGCGGCTCCTCTCGCTTAGCCGCTCGTTAACCTCGCGCGAGTCTTACGATTTTCGGTAATCGTTGCAATTATTTGAACCTACTTTTCAGGGATAATTTTTTTGAGCC